TGGCTGTTTAATAACTTCGTAATAATCGGGATATTCATTTTTATTCGGTAATTTCATAAAAATTAAAGATAATTGCCTCCCTTTTGTATCATGATAATCTTTTATAGTGTCATACATAGTTTTCAGTTTTTGTAAATGTAGTGGCACAACTTTCTTAGGTCTCCTATGGAGTTTATACACACACACATGTATATATACACATACACACATACACATGTACATATACATATACATATGTATATAATGTATTTACTAATTATATTTCATTACTTATTTAATTACAAATCAATATTTTTGTAAAAATATGTAATTATACTATACATTTAAAATACTACATACCCAACATTCCTAGTAGGAGTAGATGCACTTGATTTTGTAGGCTTGGGTATTTCAGGCAAAGGTCCTAATTCTTTTACTTTGTCCATTAATACTCTCTCAAGAGTATTTGCATCTTCATATATTAAAGAGCCTTCTTCATTGTATTGACGACAATTATTGAACATTAACTACAACAAAATAATAATAAAAATCAACATAAGATACATTTGTTAAATCTAATAATGAAAAAACTGTACCTTAAAATCTTGTATTAATTCATTTTCACTTTGATATTTTTCTGCTTTAATATTAGCTTCAATGGCTAACATGTCAATTGGTTCTGCTATTACTTGATAATAATCTGGATATAATTTTTTAGAGGGCTTTTCCATAAACATTAACATTGGTTGTCGGCCATCTTCACACTGCAATATAATAAACGTTGTACTGCTAAGCTTTGGTTTTAGTAACTGACATTGGAATTACTTACAACGTATTCTATAACACATTTAACTAGTGCATACAATCTTTTTTTTAATGGTATATTGTCTTTATATTTTCCACGTGTTAACAGATTTGAAGCACGTTTAATGAGTTTAGGTTGATGAGAGCTATTTTCAAATTCACTATCCGAGTCTGAATCCTATAAATACAATATTATAAAAAAAAGAAAGGAAAAAAAGAAAGAAAGAAAGAAAGAAAGAAAGAAAGAAAGAAAGAAAGAAAGAAAGAAAGAAAGAAAGAAAGAAAGAAAGAAAAGAAAGATATAAATAGTTCGTTAAATGTTTAGTATAAAAAATCTTTTAATTAAAATTTTATATTTGCAACTCATATCATACACATATAAAAAAAGATATTTTAGTATAAATTATTCATTTACTATGTTATTAATATATTATTATGTTGAATAATTCAATACGGGAAAACCTATTATAATACAAATGATTAAGACATGAAACTTAAAGAGTAATACGTTCTTACCTGAATGAAATTTTATTTACCTGATCAAATTCTAATAGTTCTTGTACTTTTTCTTGCATAATTTTTTGTAGTTTTACAGCACACTAGAATATTTAGTACATAAATAAATGACAAAAATGTAAAATTTTTCAATTAATATTTAATACCTTATATAATCTAGATGTATGAATATTATACTTTTTTGCATTTTCAAACATAATATTCATGTCACCAGCCACTTCACTTACAGTACCATATTCGCCTTTCTGCAAAAATGGTAAATCAAACAAAAATAATTTATAGAGTATAAAACAATTTCTATCTTTATTAATTACCTTTATTTTAGTACGAATTTGTAACAAAGAAATAGGATTTTTAATAGTCTTATAATAATCAGGATACAATCTTTTTGATGGCAGTTTCCAAAAATATTCACTCATTCTAACTCCTTAAAAATAAAATAGATTACATAATATTATTGTTATATAATGTTATTTATTACCAATATTGTAATGTTTTCAAAAAAACTATATAAAATACCTTGATTATTAGGTGCTGTTCTGATAGTTTGAAAAAGTTGCCACTGTGGATTGTCAGCTTCTTCAGTTTCTGCAGGTTCTTCTTCTTCATCGTCGCTTTCTTCATCTTCATCTGGTAATGCTGCAGTTTGAGCTATTAAGGATTGTGCCATAGTGCGACTGCCTCTTTTACTTCGTGTAGATGGTGCAGTTGTTGCAATTTTTGGAACAGTACTGCTTAATCCAATATCTTGTTTTCTTGCTGCTGCAGTAATAATCTTTTTTAAAAGTTTTGCATCTTTGTAAATTTGAGAACCAGGCTCATTAAATTGGCAAGCATTACGACACATTAACATTAAATCTTTTTCCATATCTGTTATGCTATTATAGGCCCCTTCTTGAATTTTTCTTGCAACTGTTTTTAAATCTACAGGTGTCTCAATTACATCGTAATATTCTGGATATAACTGAAAATATAAAATTATTCATATGATAAACTTGTTTAAGATAATAATATGCCAATACTTCACCAGTAAGAATTTATCGAACTTTTTTGGATGGTTTAAGTTGAAACATTGTATGTAATGGTCTATTATTATCAGCTGGATCTGTTGCTGTCATAACTGCTGCAAATAAATCTTCGAATTGTTGCATTGTTTCTTCATCAGGATTTGTAGAACTTTCAGATGTATCTTCTGCATCTTCTTGCTTTGTGGTAGTTTTTCGAGCCTACATAATTAATATCATATTAAATATTTACTGTTTACCTACTGTATGTATTTATATTTTTACTTACCAATCGTCCTACTTTTAGAATAAGTTTTCCTTTAGGTTCTGGATCTTCATATTCTTCCATAATACGATTTTTTGTATTTATGCATAATTCCCAGAGCTCTGAGGCATCTTTATATTCAGGTGATGTACGCTATTTTAATGAAATGATTTTAATAACTTAATATTTACTTAATATAAAAATATATTGTTTTGTTTTATAATATATGTTTATGTAAATTAATTTATTACCATATAAAAGGCCTTTGCATTATTAACCATGAGTTGAATGTCAGCAGCTAAATCATCCATGTCCCTATATTCATCTGTTTTTAGTTTCTGTTGAACCTTTAATAGGTCTATAGGATTTGTTACAACTTCATAATAACCTGGTTCTTGTCTACGTTTAGGCACACGTATAAATGCATCACATAATAACGTTCCATCCTCTTTTTTTTGATTACGTAGTACATCATATAATTGATGGCACAAGTCACTCTAAACGTTGAATAAAATAAATATTATCTTTGGTCAACCATAAAATGTTTTATTACTGATAATTTGTAACAGAATGCAATAACTTACAGGATCTAATTTTTTCCGTCTTTTTGTTGGTTCAGGTGGTATATCATCACCATCATCTTCTGTGCCTCGACTTGCAACTGAAGATGTCCTACGGCGCTTGTTCATCCCGAACAATCTTAAAAAACATGCAATATAAATATGTACACATATAAAAATACTTCAGTATTTTATATCAATATGGAACTGTGATATCACAATTTCACATCCAACTCTTAATGTCACTATAAAGGATATACACAGGAAAGATTAACTACATGTTGTGCCTAGCTAATACAATGTAATTACATCACTTGAATGCAGAAGATCAAAATGTAAATAGAAATTTAAAAAAAAAGAATTTCATACACAATACATCAATTTATTAAATGTGTTACTTTACAAAGAAATTCCTTGGCGTACGTATTAAGTATGAAAATAATCGAGATACACAACTGCAACTTAAGAAAATTTCGCCGCCATGATATGTCGCCACTGTGCTTCAAAATACAGAAATGTACAGCATTACAATTTTTGGATATTATGCTTCAATTAAATCAATCTTAGTTGAAATTCACCACAAAAATTACAAAATAATTGCACTTGAGTAATTGATTAAATAACTAAAGATTACTACCAAAGTTTACAACAAATTATCAAAGTAAAATTTGCCGCCATATCAAAACCTCACTGTATCTTTACCATTGTTCTTCCACGAACATTTTATCTTTTGAGGCACATGTGTTATCATGTTCTGAAATGCTCACCTGTTGTTAAAATTTGTATAAAAAGTTTTTCATTAGTATACAACATGTAAAATAAAAGCGTTACAAACGTACTATACTTTTCATCTGCAACGCACGATGACACACGACTTGGCTAACGCCATGCCGTAAGCTACCGCGGGTTTATAATCACACGAATTGTACGATCCTATAGACAGAAATAGAGACTACTTCATATGTCTTTTCATACATAAATTTACTTAGTCGATAAGGTAGATGTATTTTAAACATTTAATATATATTCATATTTTATATATATTGTAGAAATTATAATCCCCAAATAAAGAATATTAATGCACTAATATTCATATTTAAGAATAGTGTCATAATGATTATTATAACGAATATTCTAATAAAACATTTTCGTTACTAATTTTTTAGTTATTAATTTTATAGCTCTTATTTGATAGCTATTTGGAACTTTTAGTAATGTAATTTCTTATTCTATAGCTATTTAGAACATTTAGTAATGTAAAATTATAAATATATAATATCTAATAAAGAATATTTTGTGATTTTTTCAAAACTATGTAGTGTTCTGCTTACTATTATTATTATCACTTTTATTTATTTATATACATCTTTTATTTCGGTGTTGATTATTTTCTATTTATCTGATGAAATGTGACAAAATGTAATATTTATCTCCATTATAAAAAAGAAATAAATTTTGTTTAACAATTCAACATTTTTTAACAATATAATTTTTGTCATATTGACACTTATGACTATGAATAACGTTAATAAAAAGAAAAGATTATTTTAAGAATGTAATATCTGTCAATAATTATAGTATAGATTGAAAATATATATCTAATTTAATACAACACTATAATAAGCATAATTCATTTAAAATACATGTTAAACAAAGAAAAATCTTTTAATAATATAAAATCTTTTGTAAATTTTGTTAAGATTACTATTTATCAAAAAGTTTTATTATATTAAATTAATGTAAAATGATTCACGTATGTATATATTTAATGTAGTAACCGCCATTATTTAAAAATCGATTGTAAAATATAAATTGTATATCGATAATTTAAAGTTCGATATTTATATATATAGTATTGGTACGTAATATGAAGCATTTGAGAGTACACCCAATTGTGACTGTACTGTGCTAGTAGACATTTTGATTTTCAAGGAAGGAGGTAGCAGAGAAAGTAAGATTTTACGCAATAAATATATTGTTCATTATTAATATTAATAATAACTAAAATCATGTTTGTACTATAATAAATTATTGACCGTAATAAATTTAAATATATTTAATTTCATTAATTAAATTTTCTCTATTAGATAATCATGATATAAGTCAATCAATATGTACTATTATCTAAAAATCAAGAATTTTCATAAATTTAATCAATATATTAAAATTTGTACAATTTTTCGTTGATATTTAAAATTTATTTTAATGTTTTAATACTTTTGCGTATATATGTAAATTGTATATATTCGATAAAATTGCTACATGTAATTTTATAAATTAGATAAAAATTGTTAGAAGAAAATATTTTTTAATGATAATTATTTTATTATTAAATCTACAAAGAAAAAGAAAAATACATTTTATCTCAATAGTTTATGAAACAGTCTATAGAACCCAAAAAATTGAATGTACTCATGCCTTATTTTATATTTAATATTTTTATGTTATTTCAGCATATAATGGCAAATAAAGTATTAATGTTATACATGCGACAAAGTACTCCAATGTATTTAAATATTCGTAAATTATCAGCATTTCCTACATTTCCTAATAAAATTGGGAATAGAGACATAGTAGGCCATGGATATAATGGAGAAGCAAGTTACTTAGATCGAGTTGATTGTCCTATGCCTGCAATTCGTTTCAAAGCAAATACTCCAGATATACTGGTAATCTAATTGTCAATCTTAGTGTTTAAACATAATGTTTAAATTGTAATCTTACATAAATATTTTTTTGTAATTAATTAACATTTTAAATATTAAGACCTCAATAATATTGTTATTAATTTATAGTTGCATTATATTATTACAAGTTCTAAATTATATTTAATATAAAAATTTATTACATTAAATGTAAGAAATTTTAATATTAGATTTTATATAGGCATTGCGAGAGAAAGAAAAAGGAGATTGGAAAAAATTATCGATAGAAGAAAAAAAAGCATTATATAGGGCTAGTTATTGTCAAACATTCAGTGAATTTTTAGCTCCAACAGGAGAATGGAAAGGAGCTATAGGAATGACATTGATAGGTTTGGCTTTTAGTGTTTGGATATTTTTCTTTCTTAAAATCTTTGGTAAGTTGAAAATTGTTATTCATATCTATTTTTTAATATAACTAATAAAGTAAATAAATTATAAATTTTTGTTCCTTAAAAAAAAATAGAAGTAAATATTGTTTTTCTAATAGAATGATCTAATACTAAATGTTAGATATTAGTAATATTTCAATATATATTACTTATTAATGCTATAAGACATCTTTGATCAGTTTGTCTATTCTATTATTTAAAAGTTTAAATACATCATTTGTTTACTATTGCATACTATGAAACTTTCAGCATATCCACCAATGCCAGAATCATTTAATGAGGAAAACAGACTTGCACAATTGAAACGTATGAAATTACTTGAAATCAATCCTGTTACTGGAATTAGTTCAAAATAAATTAAACTTATTTCTGTTGAAAGTCATAACAAGAAATAGTTTGTTACATATAAATAATTGTTTATACATATATCTTGTACAATGTTAGTAGAAATGTACTTTAATAAATTAAATTAAAAATTTTATTATATAACTTTTGTATTTTTCCTGTATAAATCATAAATATATGTCCCATATTGCATAATGGAAGGTTAAAAAAGGTTATTTTAATTGTAAGAATATAAATATGAACGTGACCAATCTTTTCAATCTTTTATATAAAGATGTGTCATTTTGGTATATTCTGAATTTTACAAGGAAAATTACAGAAACTGTTTACATTTGAATAAAAATAGTCCCTACGAATATTATAAATTTTATATAAATATATATCTCATAATTTCATTTGTAAGTTAACAGTGGATAATTATGTTGCTTTTTAAGTTGTTTTTTAAAGAAAATATCTGAGTTTGGTCATGTTCAAATAGATATACAGGAAATGTTTGTAAACCCAGGTTTAAAATTGCTTTTATTAAGATTTAAAATTTTCATAAAATTAAATTTTTCATAAATACTCATTTGGATAAGAATACATAAAAAGAGAAACAGAGGAAAGAAAAAGAAGGAAAAATTTGATTAGATCTAATTGGAATGATATAAACCTTGTAGTTTGATATGGGTAACTAAGGTCGAATTATATAACAAAAATATCTACTGTGATATGTATTTTAATTTGTGAAAATAAATAATGTAACAAAAAATACACCTGTTGTTGATGTTATAAGATCTATATTGTAATTTAAGCTTTTTGATCGATATATTTTATATACATTAATTTAGATCATTATAAACAGAATTTTAAGATTATAGTGAAGTAATTTAGTTATACCATAAATTGCATACTTGAAAAATAAAATAAATTCACAGTTTATTTTTTGTATCTTAGAATTTGTTTTGGTATTTCAGAAATAAAAAATATTACAAATGTAATGTTGTTCTTTATATTTCAAGTACATAAATCCCATTTTAAATATTTAAATTATGTTAATAATTTATTACTTATTATTTTGTACTATAAATATATTTTTAACTATATTATTTAAAATTAGAAAGATAATAGCAATGGTACAAAAACAGCCTGTTATCACTATTTATTAAATTTTTAGTATTTTACATTTTTAAATAATTTTTGAAAATTGATAAACGCAGGTGACGAATTGTTAATAATAAATTTTTACGAAAATTTGACTCCAATTAAAAAAAACAATTAGCGATAATAACAATAATAACACTAATAATAATTACATAGTTTTTAAGAATGCAAGATCCACATTTTATAATGTTCATATACATACACACATATATGTATATTGTAACAAGTAATTGACATCCTAATTATAAAATTGAATCACAGCTTATAATGTTATTCATAAACAATGTTATTTTTTCAAGTAATATTACAGAATATTATGCCAAAATTAAAAAGTTTGAAGGAAAGTGAATACTAGTATTTTTATCTTTGCACTCGAATTTAATAGGAGATACTGGTTGAATCATATTACAACTTGCATTAACACAAAATGCAATCCAGACAAAGATTCTTAATTAGTAAATGTTTGCTATTTTTACGCAATTATATCTTTCAATTTGAGTAATAAAAATCTCTGTTGAACAACGGAATGTAATTTTCAATAATAAATTAGATACAAGATAATTTCACAAGTACATTTCGAATTTTCAATAATATAAAGGCTTTTTGCATATTGTCACATACAAAATTTTTGAAATGTTGCTCAGATTTTAAAGAGTAATACAGAACATGTTTAAATGCAATGTGATTCGTGTATTGAATTCGTGTAACATTCGATCATGATGTATATGCTTACTATTATTTTAATAATATAAAAATAATGTATTATTGTTCAGGGGAGACTAAAAATTACAAACTAGTGTTACGAAATCAGTAATTCTGTATAAAAAGTAAAGCATTATGCACAATTACGGCTTTAAAGAACACAGAATAAAAATCTAAAGTATATCATCTTTTCTTTAATGAATTAGTATTTTAAAAATATTTTTTTATTCAAAATTTGTTGATCATCAGCACACGAACTTATAACTTTATTAAAATCCAACAGATATACCAAAACATTTTCACAATTATTGGACTTACATATCATAGGAGAAAAAAAAAAGAAAAAAAAAAGGAAAAAAAAAATTCAGATATACATGGACTAATCCATGATTTCAAATGATAAAATTATTATAATGAACACTATTTTAGATACGTACAAAATAAAAAAATGTAGTAGGTAACTCTTAGACTTATTTTTCTATGTTTGATAATATATATTACAATATTTACAATAGGTAAGTCCCAATATCACCAATTTTTCTGTTACCCCTTTGTTATAAGAATATAGTTTCATATAGAAAACTAAGTCTTTATCATCATTATTCGAGTTTGTTTTACAACTTCATGAAATTTTTAAGAAAACTGCACTGTAAATAATCTTTGTATATATCGTTCGTATTATATAAATGTATTACAATGAGTTTATCGTGATTATGAACACAATTGCTATTCAAAGATTGCAATAAGCTTGTAACTTTGTAAATAATAATTGATAAAATATTACACATTTTTAAATGTTATTTGTAATATGTGCAGTAATGCAAAATAAAAGTAAAACTAAACCAATTTATATTACAATTCTGTACGTCTTTGGTATGTAAATTTTCGTACAGAATAAAAAATGTTTCTGGTGAAACGAAGAACTTAACTACACTGGGGCCACTTTCTTGTTCATATAAGAAAGAAGTAATATAGAGTTTATCAACTCCGCGTAATTATAGACACTGAGCCCCTCTAAAGTGGAAAGGATAATTTAGTTGTATGATGAAAGTTAATCAATGTCTTTTCACCACACGATTATGATATTGAGCTCTCTACTTAAGTGTGAAACAAAGTCCAACATTATTTTGCACGTTTCATCACCGTATACAATCTCCAGTACCACGAGGTGTAATGCATTGTTTTTTCCGTTTAACAGTTTGTGACCTTGAACTTGGACTGTGACTATTATTATTACTTCCATTACTGTGAAGAGAGTGTTTTGCTTTACTTTGTCCACTAATATTATTATTTATTCCTCGATGATGATAATTTCCTCTGGAACTATGATGATGCTCAACTGTAATATAAATATTATAGGTAAATTTTAGAATCTATAGACTATAAAATATATAAAATGCTTAAAGACTTAATATAATTGCATACTATGAGCAGTTCCTTTAAACGGTTTTTTCCATTGTGAATGATGGTGAGTATGTTGGTTATTATATACATGTCTTTCTTTATTTCTGTTTTCTCCCTTTCCACTAGTGTTAGGTGAATTTCCACCACTACATTCGGAATCCTAATAAGATTCAAGTTACACATTACAAATAATTAAAACTATAATGAATTTGTGGCAACTTTTTTTCATATTTTGATAAATTGTAATTCTGTACCGTGTCACTAGCTGGTGCAGATAGCGTTGAAGCATCAGAACCAGTAGAACTTGACAATGAATCTACCTCACTTAAAGGTAGTGGGAATGTTTCTTTAATCCATTTGCGATATTCTATTACTTCATCTGTCACACGAATTATTCTTCCTAGTATACTGTATAAAATATATCTTGAGAAAACAGTTAATAAAATCATAAAATATATTAACAACATTTAAATATTATAAATAATCTTACCTTACTTTACTTGCATCATTAACTAAAATATTTAAAGGACTAACTGCTTGTGAAAGGACATAATAAGCCCAATCAAATGCATCTTTCACATATAAAGCACCATAACTACTACGCCCAATATCATTTCCTGGTGTAAGTGGATCCTCTATGAACAATAAAGAAGGTCGGTGGCCATCTATCATATCTCTTTGAACCTAAAATTAATATAAAATACAAACTAAATTCACATAAAAAATAACAAATAAATATTTTAAATCTTTTATTTATTTTATACATGTGTTTACATACATTATGAGTAAAATTAATAAATTCTTATGAACATTTATATAAAATTCTTTCTCCATAGTTTGTACAAACAAAAATGTATATATTCAAAGTGACTACCCAATTCTTTTCACAATATTTTATTTACAATATGATTTTTTAAAAATTAATAAGTATAATACTTGTTTTATATACCATTTTATTACATATATAATTTTTATATAACAATGTATTTTATATAAATATACATTACCTCTTCTTTCGATATGTAAGTACCACCATCTTTAACACGAATTCCTGTTTTAACATAATTAAATTTCCTACCATATAATTCCAAAAATTCTATTAACAAAACCCCAAGATTAGCATTTGAGCAAAAAGCATTTTGCCTGGGATGTAACTGAAATAAAAATTTATGTGCTAAAAAAATCAATTGTTTATTTCAAAAAACATAAATATTTTTACACAAGATATCAATTTATCAATTTTTCAGAACTTAAATTATTAATATGATATCATTTATTTTACAGCTGACTGAAAATTTATGCAATACTTTTATTTAAACATTATATCAAATTAATAAAATATTAATATTTTTACCTGTAAAAAACTGATAGTCATAAGTATTAAACTATATGAGGAGATTCCACCAGTAAACACTTCATTCAGGTCTCTTTGTAACAAGAATTGCTTTAATACCATAACTAATTTTTCCAGCACTGGAAACCGCTTTTTAAAAGAATTTATCAATTCTGCAGATTTAACACCATTACTCATATTAAAACTGATATCTACTTTAATTTCAGTTTCTTTATCAGTTAATTTGACAATTGGAACACTAGCTTTATCCAAAACTTTAATAGAAGATGGTTCAGCAATATTTTGATCTAATAAAGCACGTTCCAAAGTACGTAATGGAAGATCTATCCACATTCCTATTACTACTAAATCTATATCACTGAAAGGAAGAATAAATTCTTTGTATTTTGAGAATTCTTCAATAATAATTAATAATATATTTTTGTATTACATATAATGTTAGTATTGTTAATAACATACATAAAATATTAATTAATATAGGTAATTTAGTTTCATTTAACATAGTCATGGTTTTATAATACTAACATGTTTAAAAGATATTTATATATTTTACATGTGAACACATTACTAAATACATTCCATTTTAAATATGTACAATGATACGTACCTTGTAGGTAAATATAAACCACTGCGAAAGCTGCCAAATACTTCAACCTTAGAATCTGGCCAGAGATCATATATTACTTGTTCTATCCTCTTGACAACACGCATTCGTAAACTATGTTCTTCATTAGTGGGACACATATAAGCAAAAAAATCTTCAATTTCTTCATGTAATCTAAATATAGGAACATAATCTGTCACTAATAATCATCATTTTTTCATGTAAACTTTGAAGATATTATAACATTTTATCTTATGTAAGCTCTACTTATAAATTTTATAATATTAATTTTATACAAATAATTATTACTAATTACGAATCATTATTATAATTACCATTGTAATTATGATTTTTTGTTTATAAGTTCACAATTTTATGAGGCACTGAATTTATATGACTATGTTTAATGTATCAAAAATTGTTCAATTATGCAAATATAATTTTAGAGAAAAGAATAAATAATATATTTTAACATCAAAAAATACTAAAAATATAGAATACAATTTAATGTTTAATAAAATTATCTAATAAAGTAACCTAAATAAAATCTTAAATTTTGTAGAAAATGTATTAATGACAGAAAAAATAAAATAAAATGAATTGAAATAGAAAGATAATAAATTGAATATTAAAAAAATTAAATTTAACATCCAAACTAATAAAATGACAGTTTAAATTTTATTTATTTTATCACTTAAAGAATTATATAAAAATTATATTTATAGATTATAAAAAATAAAATATAGTTTTTTAAACCAAAACATATTTTATTGTGTAATTATAAAAAATATATTAAAAACAAAAATTCAAAATTGTATAAATATAAAATCTTCAATACTAGCGATAATATTTTTTGATTTCGATAATATTGGATTGTTGTGAATACAAACATAAATAGTCGTATTATATAAACATCCACGTGTGTTTACAAAATCATTATATTAGTAAAGACTAAAAATGCAACAGCAACATTTTAGAAATATTTGAAATATTAACTAATTGAAAAATATTATTCAACTAAATAAATTATACTCATTATAAAAAAAAGTAAATTCTTATTTGTAGCATATCTAATTATAAAGAGACCTTGCTATACCCTATTTGTAAACGAGCGTGTACACTACATAACCTTAATCATGCCCATATGGACAAACTATACAAAGGCTAATAGTTTAACTTTTATAAAATAAACAATAACTTAACATTTGATAACGAGACTTACCCAATAACACCTTTTGAATAATGTTTATTGGATACCCGCCATGGACAACCACCGTATTCGCCAACTAAGGCATCGTAATTGTAGTTCATGCCGTAGGTACTAGCACGATTATCTTTCCTACGTGATGGATTGTAATAGCTGCTGCAAGTATTATGTTGCATGCGGTCTCCCGTGCGAGAATTAAGAGAATCCAAGGATATGAAGTCTTGCTGTAACTTCACACCCATTACATTCGAAGATGAGTCGTTCTTCAACGTTAAAATATCCAGGCCTTTTTCAGCTTCCCAAATGTGTAACCACAAATCCTTAGCAGGGCCGAACTGCTCCGGTTGATACCAACCGATAGTCGGATCCATTAAATAGTTCTCGATTCTGTATCTTACGATTAATGGTCCTTGCACACTACACTACAATTCCAATCTTAATTCAACTTTAATTGAAAAATTGTCTGATTTATTGTAACCTGCGAACACTATGAAATTCATACATACGAGCAATGAATAACAGCATTTTAGAAGGAACTTCGTACACCATTGTCTGAGCATAGAGTAATAAAGATACTCAAACAGTTTGTTCCTGCAGATGGCATTATCACCTATACATCTGAAAATAAATTTGTGGAAATTTGGTTAAAAATTATGTATACTATAATTTTATATCTTGTTAAAATAATCGTAAACATTAGTTTCTGGAAAAGTAACAAATAATATCACTATATGTAACTTAAATTACTTGTACTATTACAATTTATTAAATACAAGGTAAAATATAATATTAACTTATTATAAATGTGTAAAAATTTGTAGAATTGAAAATAATAACTTAAAAACATCTGACATTAAAAGAACTTTTTGTTTTTTATTTATTAGAAAATCTATATAGATGAAAATTATAAGATTCTAAAATACATTTCAATTTCAGTCCGAAAATGCGGGAATATTCAAACAATATAAATTAAAAGAAAAAATATGATACACGAAGTATAAATATATAGTTAACCATTAAATTAAGAAGTTTTAAATAAAGTAGTTTAACTAAAAATAAATAACATTAGTAAACTTTGAATGTAATAAATAATTTGGAATACACGGAATATGAAATCTGTATACATTTTATGTTTATTTCATGGAGAAAAATACTTCAAAATTAGTTCAAAACACGTTTATAATATATATAATAATTTTATAGATGTGCATATGCGCGTGTGTGTATAAGTATAATAATTTATTCAACCAGTATTTAAAAATTCTATAACCTAATGCTTAAAGTTATCTATAGCTGATTAATTGTAATTTATAATCAGGAAATATATCAAAGGATATTAATAGTTATTACAAAATAGAATATTTATAATATTTTTTGCAAAAAGGTATAAAACACAAAAACAAAAACAAAAGAAAATAATTTGTGTATTATAGTACATGTTACGTATAATATTTTTATAAATATACATTTTATTTTTATAATTTAATACTAAAGTATTACATTTTTTTACTTAAAAAGAAAATAATATAATAATAAATTGTAATAGTATAATATAATCAATATTTAAGATATAGATATTAAAAAGAAAAATATATCAATTGTAAAAGAAAATAATAATCACAATATAAAAAGAATGAAAAGTAAAGAAATAAAAAATAATAAACAAATAAAAAAGGTATATCCAGTCCCATTAATTATTTGAGAGTAAATAATTTAGGAAATTATAAATATATTGCATGTAATCCATTCCCATCAAATACATAAGAAACGTAGAAGATTAACTAAACAAAATTATAATAAGATATTAGCTCGACTCCACCCTTTTTTAATTTACCGCGAAATTTAAGTGAAAATAATTCATATTTCAATTAAAATATTTTTATGTTTATCAAATAGCTATAATATATTTATTGATATTATTCGATATATTTTTTCTTTAAAATTTTATATTATCATATTTTTTTATTCCAAATTATAGAATAAATACCTAAATATTTATTTATAAATATGTATATCGTTATGCACTTCTTTCACGTGGCGTTACATTTTTGTATGAGACAAAGAAATTTTAATATTCATATGTATATCATGTTACATATTGTATATTTAAAACAATATTTAACAGAAAATGTTTATTCTTTATTGTTATCAATTTTATAATACAATTGTATACTTTGATAAATACTTTAATTAAATTTATACTATGTAAATATGCTGCCTTATAAAAGCATTTTAATAAAATAATTACCAAGATGAAAATTAAAAAAAACAAAGTTCATATAAATATCTATATTAATTAATTCTTAATCAATTTCTACATAAACTAGTAAAATGGAAATAATGAATATAACTCGTTAAAAAATATGTTATTGCTATTATATATTTAAAATTTATTGTATTTATTTAAAGCTATACTTAAATTAAGAAATTTGAAAATAAAAATTTCGAAGGTAATCTGTAATCAAAAGCAAAGGTCGCCTTTTCGTTGTGATATAGACATGACTTGCTTACTTCATGCACGTAATAATGTGTTTTCCTAACTAAAATAAAAATTAAATAAAGATGTGAGAGACATTGTCAATGGCAATGAAAAAAATATGTTATCAGAGTTTTTAAACTAATTTAGTCTTCCATATAAGTTATAAATGCATTACACTAATTATTTATTACATAATTTTACTAGGATAACTATATGCTGAGATTAATCGTTTATTAACTCTATTACAGGTAAGCTGTAAATATTAATAAAGTAAAACTGATTAATTATTAAAGTTTAATTACAAATATATTTAAGATATAATTTATTTTTAAATATTTAAATTCAAAGATAACATTTTTGTTTTTGTTATTATTTAGTTATTAATTAAAATACTTGTCAAGTATTATATGTTACAATGTATTTTGATAATCAGTTTTATTTGACTAATAAAGCAATCTCGTAATTTTTACCTATATTTTATTTAACTTTATCAGTATTTTTTAAACTATCTATATTTTTAAAACATTGAAATATTTGAATTTTATTTTTTTTTTCAGACATGTCAGAACATGTTGAACTACATCATTTACTTGATGGTGATATTGAAAATAATACAACAATACAGCAAAAACGATTTTCAATCCTAATGTGTAAATCATGTCCTTCTCTTGGTTTAATCTTGGCAACATTATCATCATTATTTTTTTCGTTATGCAGTGTCATTGTGAAAGGTTTGGTAGAAGTAAATCCAATGGAATTGGCAGCATTCCGATTTGTGGGGGTATTATTACCAGCGATACCTATTGTAATATATAAAGGCGAACATCCATTTCCAAAGGGACGTAGATTAATGCTAATATTAAGAAGTTTTGTGGGTACCACTGGCCTCATGTTAAGCTTCTATGCATTTCGACATATGCCACTAGCTGATGCATCTGTTGTAGTATTTTCTGTTCCTGTATTTGTAGCAATATTTGCAAGAATATTCTTAAAAGAGCCTTGTGGTTTATTTAATGTTATTACTGTCTGTTTAACATTGGTTGGTGTAATCTTAATAACACGTCCACCACTTATCTTTGGACATACTGTAGAATCACTTTCAGATGGACACACAAAAACACAACATGCAGATTTATGGGGTGCTGTAGCAGCTTTCTCGGCAACTCTTTTTGGTGCAAATGCATATGTTTTATTACGAGCTTTGAAAGGCCTTCATTTCTCCGTAATTATGACAAATTTTGGATCATTTGCCTTGATTCAGACAATAGTTATATCTTGGGCTATAGGTGCATTGTGCTTACCTCGGTGTGGAACTGACAGACTTTTGGTTGTGGCACTTGCTCTCTTTAGTTTTGGGGGACAAATACTATTAACATTAGCTTTACAAATGGAACAAGCAGGACCAGTTGCAATAGCAAGATCAGCAGATATAGTTTTTGCCTTTTTTTGGCAAGTTTTATTTTTTAACGAAATTCCAAATCCTTATTCAGTAGGAGGAGCAATTGTAGTTACAAGTTCAGTTTTATTAACTGGACTAAGGAAATGGGCTCTTTCATTACCAGAAACATCTAATGTTAAAAAATCTTTAGGTATTTTGGTAATGTGAATTATCAATTATAAATGAGTAATGTAATTTAAAAAATTCATTACTTTATTAAAACTTTTGTTTCTTTAATATTGATTCTAATAATAAAAATTATTTAAGTATAAATAAATATTTCAAAATAAAATAACATTTATATGTAATATGTACATCAATTTTTGAAATTTAATAAACTTAAATTGCCGTATTTAAGAATATCAATATATTAAACTTATTATATTTTATGTTTCAAATTTACTAAATAAGAAACTATTACTAAATACAAGATTATACAATTTGTAAGATTATTGATTGCTTATAATTGATGTTTAGATATAATAATAATTGAACATCAGTAATCAATTTTTGTTGGAAAATTCATTTCATTCAGTTAAACTGTATAAATGTTATCATATCATAATGAAATTGATGAATTATACTTTTTAGTATAATTAGTGCATTAAGTCTCTCAAGATTTAAGGTTTAAGTTTAACCATAAGGTTTTGCATTATTACTATCTTGCTATGTTCCATAAAAATTCTTAATACACATTTTATAATACTTACTAATATATTTAAAATTATTTATTGCATTAATAAATATCATATTTTCCTAATAAACTATTAATTATTATAAATTCTAGTCTAAAAACTCAGTATTACAAAAAGCTCATTATACATATTTTACTGTGAGTTTGCTATCTGTAAGTTTTTGTTTAATTAGTAATTGCGACGATTGTATTTTATAATATGCACAAAATGGCAAAGTATTCTCTTGTATTTTTAAACTAGATAATTGTTTTGCAAGAATTTATATTTTAGTTAAATTAGAATGAACTACTAAATAGTGCACAAATATAAAAGAATGTGTTTATAAAAAAAATTTATTCTACAATTTAGTATTTCTGTATTACATAAAGTAATTAATGAAATGCTGAAATTACATAACATGATTAAAATTATTCATCTACTGAAATTTTCTAACTATAATATTTAATAAAATATTTATAATCTTCACAAAGTTATAAATTGCAATCTTTAAAAATTTATTATGTCAGTATATTGTATTGTACTATCTTATGTGCATGTAAAATGTACAAAATATTAAACATAAAGCTTCAGATAGACATGCAGAAATGGGTGATTAATTATTTTATGTACATTGTTTCTGAGATTAAAGTAAAATATGCTAATTTAGTACTAGATCAAATTTTGTAAAAGGTTACTCAATAACTAATAAATAGTAAAATATTTGAATTCTAATATATGGGTATTAATTTTTAATATATAAAATTATGTAAATTTGTACTTCTAAAATATTGTTATGCATAATACAAATTATAGTACAATAAAGTTTGTATTAGAATGTTTTCACTAATTCATTTTTATTTTTACGAATATAATTTTAGTTTTTAAATAATTTGTAGTCAAGTATAAAAATTATATATAAAAATTATAAAAGTTATATTTTATGATACAAATTACTACGTTTAAAAAAAAAGAAATTATTTTTAATTATAGTTTTAAATTTATTAAGTTATAATTCATTATGGTAGATTAATTATAATTTAATATTATATCAGTTATAAAAAAAGTAAAAAATTAAAAATGTTTACAAAGTAGTATTTACGTAAATGTCTATGTTAATAATTTCAAATAAAACGAAACTTATATTAGTATGAGAATTTAAAAATTAACTCTTTATTATGAAGTTATTGAGCTTATTATATAAGTTTCTTGCAAATGTGAATATCTATATTATATAATTTCAAACTATGTATCGCTGACTATATATCTCTATATATACATATAGATGCATGTATATATATACATATTAAAATTGTTTTCCTATATCGTTTCCTAATGTAAAGTGATAAATATTTTTAAACATCGAAAATAAAAATGTATAGATATAATAATAGTAAATTATAATAAAAACCAGTAATCTAATAAATAATTTGTCAGCAGTTAGGATTTCGTGTAAAATCACATGTAAATATTGACAGATAGAAGAGATAACAAGCACAATGCTCCTCGTATCTACTTTTATACGTAGTTGTAAAATTTTTAAGTTTCTTTTATGTAATTATTGTATTATAAATGCATAAATTGTTATTTATATTATGTATGTAGATATGTAGTATAATATACATTTTAGCATATAGTTAGCTTTTGAAAATAATGTTACAAACATATAGAGTATTAAATGATAAAATGTAGAATTATTACATATTATATAAATGTATATTTACAATTATGTTTTATCATCTATTTTATCATCTAATTTTATCATCTATTTTATAAAATTATATCTATACATAAAAAAAATGTCGTTATGGTTTAATGTGTTTTGCATTGGTGTCTCATTAACTTGTCTTTAATTATCAATAGACAGAACATTATCTTAATTTATGATTAAAAGATATATAACAATGTTATCAATGACATACAAGAAACATGATATAGAACAAAAGTCTGTGATATAAGCAGATATTACACTACAGCATTTAAGTAATTTGCATCAACTATGTGTATTTTATTTATTTATCGTAACCCTGAAGCTGATTCAGAGTCATATCGATTGATTTTGATCTCAAACCGTGATGAAGATTTTAAACGTCCAGCATTACCAGCTCATTTTTGGAAAAACTATCCATTATGTTTAGGAGGTAAGTTAAAGCTATATTTGAAATTAATTGAATCTTTCAATAATATATATTAAATTCATAATAGTATATTAAGTATATACAGTTTTATATAAAATATCTGATTTTACATAACATATTTGTATTTCATAAATTAAAAATTTGAAATTATTATAATTCATATTTTTTTAGGTACTGATATGGAGCTTGGAAAAGAAGGTGGAACTTGGCTAGGAGTGTCATTAACAGGGAAGGCGGGTGTTGTTTTAAATTTATCTGATGATACAAGTTCAACTAATATACCAAAGCAAGGACGAGGGTTTTTAGTGCCTAATTTCATTACATCAGAAGATTCTGCAGTTTCATATTTAGATAAATTATATAAGAAAAATAAGAACAATCCAATATATAATCCTTTTATTTTAGTCTTAATAAATTTAAGGTATATAAAAAATCTTTAAATTTCTATCTTTTTTTCTATCTTTTGAAGTTAAATGTATATATTTTTATGTATTAATTTGTTTAGGAATGCAGATGTTTATTACCTCAGTAGTTCTCAAAATTCAACAGGACATATTTTAGGTCAAGATAATGTTTTAGGTTTTAGTAATAGTGGCCTTGATATTCCATATAGAAAAGTTGATATAGGAAAAGAAATTTTCAAAAATATTATTAAAAATGTTAAGGTAGCAAATCAAACAAATCTTATTGAAGAACTGTTAACATTCTTGAAATCGAAAGAGAGGTATGCATAATTTTGGAACAATGACAAACTACATGTTGTTATTAAAGCATAATTTTTTTGGACATTCATAGATATTTACCAGATCCTGAATTGCATAGACGTTACCCAACAAAATATAAGGAACTTAGCTCAATTTTTGTATCAACTGATGGATATTGTACACGAACACATTCTATATTGTTGGTTAGTGGAAGCAATGAAATAACATTTATTGAAGAAACACTTATGCCAGATTTAACATGGAAACGTCAAATTTTTAACGATAAATTAATATGTAATAACTGATATTAATAATAAAAATAATTGTGAATAGTATACAAATTTTATATTAATTATATTATTAGTTTACAATGTTTCATATGATCTTAATTGTCTATAAGAAAATATAATTTTATCATTATAAAAAATATATTGTTTCATATAATTTTTAAATTTTTTGTAGAAGAATAATTATAGCATATCATCTTCATTATTAAGGTCATCGCTAGAATCATTTTCTAATATATCTGATGATATATTAGTTGCATCATCAATTATGTTAGAATTTGGTGCAATACTTTCTTCTGATGATTGATTCTAAAAATATCAGTAGAAATATTAAAGCATTATCTTAAGAAGTACATAATATATAATTTTTAAAATTAATTAGCAAACCTGAGAAAAAATTTCTTGACCTTCTAAATTTTTGTTAACAAGATTACCTAACTAGCATTCCTGTTACACAGTAAATTAATTTTTCCAATATAGATTTTGCTGCAGGAATATATTTTGTTAATGTAAGATCTTTCTTTTCCGCACTATCGCAACATATAGTATGTAAATATCGTGTTCCGCCTAAAATACACATTTTATGTATAATCTATATTACTTCTATCATATTAATATTTCTCACTAATTACATAATACTTATTTTATTAAACAAATTAAATTTTATACTTTGCATCATTTTTAATATTTTAGTTACATCTTCTGCTTGATATTTCAGATTATGTTCCAGAATTGGCATTCCAAGATTTAAAAAGGATTTCAATAATATAGGCATATGTTTTAAAAAGATCAATACATTATTTTTTGATGTTAATGTTTTACAAATTTGAACTAATTTTTGAACGTTTTTTGCAACTTCATACCATAGTTCTATTCTTTTAGGGTCTCTGATAAAAAAAAAGAATTTATAATTAAAAATAACATATGAAATAATTTTTATGAAATAAAAGTTATGTACCTATCAGCCATTGGCAATGCTATTTTTATACCATTAATTAAACCATCAAACATCTTCTTATATAGAAAATGGAAAGTACTCCTTGTTATTGAAGGTATTTTATTTAAACTGCTCTGAGGTTTTTCCAATTTTGAAATTTCATCTGGTAACCAATCCAGAATTAGAGTAACTGTTTGTAATGGTAATATTTCATTATTAATCCAATTATTTAACAATTCAATTACAGCTGATTTATATTGCATACTAGAATGATTATCTTCTGGCCATTGAAGACATAAAAAATCATATGCCATTTTTGCTAAAAAAAAAAAGTATAATATTAATAGTTATTTCAAGCATTTTAATACATATAATTAAATATGTATTAAATATGTTTAATATTTAATAAGTTATAAATTGTACATAATATTGCTTACCATACTTTTCTTTATTTTGTTTAGTGTAAGATGCAGAATGTTTCATTAATGATTGACACACATTAATTAGTGAAATTGATAAGGATATCTGTGTAACAATATCAGATAAAGACTCGAAATATCTGCAAGATTCTGTAACAAGTTCTTTGCAAGATCTTAACCTGATATTGTTTTGATCACTTTGACTTGCTAAAATTCGTAAACCCTCTAAACAAATACACACAGACTATTAAAGTGTATTATCACTCATAAAATGATTATTATATAAAACTATAATAACATACCACGTAATAATATATTGTAAGTGACACTTTCAAATCCTTTCCAACTAAAAATTTTTGTTAAAAGACACAAAAATAATCGAACAGCTGCCCTGTTTTGACTATCATCCTCTTCTCTTAAAGAGTCAATAATATCTCGTAATTTTGCACAAATTTTTGGTAATAATTCAATTAAATCTTTTATAAATTTTTCATTAGTATTGTGCTCAAACATTCCTAATAGTTCTTGAATAATAAAACGTATTTGTTTTATAGATATACTGTGTCCTACAGATTGTGATGTATCCATTTCCATTTGTACATCAAATAGATGTACTATCTACAAAATTTTTTATTAATTATAAAAGTGAATCTGGATAAACATAAATAGTGTAAATACATTATAATAATTGATTTTTGTGACAGTGATGAAGTTGTTTAAACGCCTTTTAAAGTTTTTCATTATTTTAAAACAAATAAAAACAAATTATAGTATATTTTTGCATACCATTGCATCAAATTTTCTAAAATAAATTGGATTTTTAGAACATATTAAAGAACCCAATTCCCAATCTTGACTTTCGTTAAAACTAACAGATTTTTCTTTAAGCTGTTTCTTTCCCTTTTTCCCTTTTTTGCCAATTTTTTTATCTATTCCTACAAATGGTGGTAGTGGAAACTGATGAAAATAACACGGAGGTGGTTGATATTTGGTATCACATAAAGAAAATAATCTGCTTAATTCACTTTGTAAGTCTATTAAATTGTCTAATCGTTGCATTACTTGTTTTTGTAACAAAAAATCTTTTTGTGTTACAAAACCACTGATCACTTCTCGAAACCTAAAATTAATTTTTACAATCTTCATATTTAAAATTAATTTTCTATTTCTACTTACATCTTCAACTTACCAATTAATACAACATATTACTATATCTATTATTGAATTTTCTGCTATCTCAAGATCTTCTGGCATTAAAATTGCACATCCCAGAAGAGAATCTATGGCGTCCAAATTTTCATTTTGACTAAGCCTAATACAACAAGTTTTGAGGAGTTTGAAAGAAATTGGTATAATTGCTCCATATTTTTTATCTTCAAAAGTTAAAACACAGTTTTGTGGCTCATCTTCAACTTTATTCAATCCAAATTTTGGAACTAATTTTCCTCTAAATTAAACACAAAATTAGAAGACAAGAATACAGTGAATACAATATTAAAGATTATGAAATATGATATACTTATAATTTGTCTTGTCAATCATATTTGCATTAACAAATTCTTCTTCAATATAATCTGTGAGATTTTTCATAAATTTTGTATTAATACACTGAGTTTGTGATATGATACAAATCAATTGATCATAAAATAAAGCTTGTGATCTGGGACAGCTCTTCACATTATTTAATACTGTCTCTATGAAATGAAGAAAGAAATTAGTTATTTATGGTATTTAAATATAAAATTTTATAAAATATTCCACAAATATTTCCTATTTCTTACTAAATAAGTTATAAGCTGCATCAGACTCTTCTGCATCTTGCATTAGATGTTTTATTGCCATTACTGCACCTAATACACCTTTACTTTTTGTGCTGAAATATAATCATTTAAAAAGAGAATCAATATTGTTGATCATATTCCATATGATACTTATGATACTTTAAAATATAAGAGAAAAAAAATGAATTTTGGAATTCATTGTCAACATAAAAATTGAATAAATTATATATTTGCTAATCCCAGTGATATTAAAAAATTATGTTCAATATTCAATAGAAAAGTTAAAATAAATAAATAAATTCAAAACAAAATATTGTAATTTGTAGTGAATATTTCGAATAAGTTGTAATATTTGGACAGTAAGTACCAGAACTATTCATTTTCTTTCTTTGTTTTTTGTAACATTAATACATACAGTGGATTGAAATAAGAAAGTTGCTTTTGTAGTAGTATAAATAAGTCATCACGTAAAGAATCACCTATAGAATTAGTATTTGTACATAAATGTTGCAATACATCATTTAAAGTACCAACTTCTTTTAAATTCAAGTTATCCATCTTTTCAAGTAAAATACGAAGATGATTACAATGTGGTGTTAAATACTGCCTGTACTCTTCTTTCTCTACCATTTTACGAAGAAATGTCAAAGTATTTTTAACTGTTTGCTCACTATCACCCATAAGGAATATAATTCTTTCTACAATCTCTCGTTGTTTGAACACATCCTCTTTATGACATTTAAACTGTAAACACAACCAATCAATGGAGAAGTCAATAAATACACGTTCATTTGCTTTTAATAAATTAGTTGATATTTGTAATGCAGTTGGTTGTAATTCTTGTAAGACCTATAAGAAAATAATTTAAACAAATTAATTAAAATAATTAATTTAGTACAAACAATATCTTTATAATTTTTATATCATACAAACTTTTTTATAATCATTATATAGTAAATTTAGTAAACTTGTTCTATAAAATCCAGATCGTATATGTTGTTTAAATATAGTTTCAATAGTTTTTTTCTTTATTTTTGTTGTTGAAAATATAAGAAGTAAAAGAATGATATCTAATGGTTTTGGATCTTTAATAATATCTTTTATAAGTGTAATAGTTTTATTTACTACATTTTTTGAATGTAACATATTCATTTTTAGTGTATTGACTATATCTAATTGACTTTGATAACACTCTTCAATGTCTTCTCCAACAAGAGGTTGTATATGAGTATTGCGTAACACCTTTAATGTTTTTTCAAAAATTTCTGTATTTGCACAATCTTCTAAAACAAACCTGTAAAAGCATTATCAATATTATTACTAAAAAACAGATAAAAATTACATGTAAAAATTATACTATATACTTTAATTAACAAAACATACTTTACAATAGCTGCTATTGCATTTATTTTAACAGTTGTTGTCAGAGAATTTAATGTCTCTTCTTTATACTCATCCAAATATTCTTTTTCAAGATTTAAATTAGTCATACAATTTAATATTAAATTTATTAATGCAGAATTCTCTTTTAAAATTTTATTTAGAATTTCAGCAACTGTTTGATGTTGTTTATCAGTTATAATATCAGGTAAGAACATAATTAATTCATTTTGAAACCACAAAGGGCACGATGCTAAAAGTTGTTCTAAGCTATTAATCAAAGCATCAGAATTAATTACAACATCTAAAAAACGAAACTGATGCAATAATAAGAGAGCCCATGGTACTGATTCAATGGAATCACTAAAAAAAATATTTTGGAAGTATTATAGAAATATAGTTAAAAATTACTAAAAAGTAAAGAAATAATGGTAATAATAAAAAACATACACCATAAGTACAGCTTCATTGAGTTTAGATAAAAGACTGCTATATATTTCTGGATGTAGTTCTGAAACTTGTAACAGAATTTTTATAAGAGATGGAGTACATAAAACATTTGGCACTTCGTTATTAACAAGTAACTCCATATCAGCTAAAGCATTTTTAAGATTTTGTTCATTCTCAAAATATTTTTCCATTAGAGAAATTAATTCCATTTTTTCATATTTCTTGCAATTTAATAATTCTTTCATTTTCTTTCTAATTATTATGATGTCCTTATCTATAATAATTTGGTAAATATAATATAATACTGACCGAAAACATTAAAAAATTTATATGTGAATAATATTGGTTACTAACTTAAACTTCAAATATTTTATTAATACCTACTAAGTATATGTGGAACTGAATTTATTTCAATGCCTGATTCATATAAAAATTCTACAAATTTACACTTTTTAGTAGAAATTTCATTAACATTCTTTTCTGTGACTGTTAAAACATTTGATAAACTTTTATGACTGCATTCATTCGATGTAGTGTTACAATTATCTTTCCTCTTTTTTAAAACAGTAGATTCTGCCAAAGGAAAATCCAAATTATCATCACTATTGCTTGGTATAGTGCAATTTGACAATTTGCGTTTACATGATAACTTTTCATTTATTAATTTTGCTTCGTATGTATTTTTGGAAAATATATCATCATCCGATAATTTGTTTTGACCTATGAATAGATCATTTTGTAATTTATGTTTTATTATATCAAATATTTTTAAATTTTTAAATACTTTAACAAACTTACTTTGAGTGAAAAAGGCATTCCCAGTTAGTACGGGACTATTAGGTTTTGATATTTGTTCAATTAAGGATTTCGTTTGAAATATATCATTTCTTGATATTTGACTCGTTAAATTCTTATGTAAACCACCTCTGAATTTCAATTTTCTTTTATCCATAATCAATTGATTATTCTTTTACATGCGATCGTGTGTAATATCTACAAAATACGTTTTTGTGCAAGATTATAAAATTTAAATGTATGTATATACATGCTATAAAATTGAAAAACACTATTCAGACTTTTCATATAAGAGAAAATATAATTTGTGATAATTGGTCATTAATAAATTACACAATATAAAAAAAGTTGTGGAAATGTAACTATAAAAACTTAAAATTTTATAATCATATTTTTATGAAAAATATTTTCATATAATTTTAAATCATAATAATTCTAAATTAATATTGGTAACACTGATAATTCAATTGCATTTATAGTAAAACGTAAGTATAAACCTACGAATGAGCAGTCATATAGAAATGAAAGCACTAGCTTAAGCTACAGATGTGGAATAAGGTGTTTTACGTTTAATAATTGTATATAAATTATAGAATCGAAGAAATGTCATCAGCACATTTATCGACAGGACGTTTAAATGTAGAAATTCTTCAAAAACAAGCAAGAAAACAGTTACTTTGCTTTCTTGAAAAATGTGATGGCACAAAGGTATTCACCATAATTTTTTCATTTTTTCTCAGAATTTATATTTCTGTTATTCTAACAAGCAAGATTTAGTATAAATGTTTTTTATTTTATAAGTTAAAGTGTATTTCATATAGTGTATTTGCATAAAATGTATTTGTTCATGTCATGACTAAAGATATTCTAAAAACATTTTTAATAGGTAATTATATGGGATCAATCTCTTGCAGGACCAATTGGTCTTGTTGCAAAATATAATTTACTCGAGGAGCATGATGTTGTCACAATATATCCTTTATGTGGTGGAAGCTTAACAATACCACCAAATATTGTTAATATAATATTTATAACTAGACCTCAATTAAGTCTTATGGATTTAATTGCTGAGAATGTTCATGGGTATGTACAAAATAAAAATAATTAGCTTTGAATTTAAATTTCATTAAAATAATACTATGAAGCTTATGTATTGACTAATTTGCAGCGAAGAAGGAAAAAGACCTCGTAAAGAATTTCATTTATTCTTTGTGCCAAGAAAAAGTCTTCTTTGTCAAAAGAAACTTCAAAATCGAGGTGTTTTTGGTAGTTTTACATTAATAGAAGAATTTAAGTGGGACTTATTTCCTTTTGACAATGATCTTCTTTCCATGGAACTTAGTGAATCATTTAAAGAATTTCATCTAGAAAATGATCCTACTTGTTTATATCAAGTTGCACAAGCTATTCATGGTTTACAAAAATTATATGGAAAAATTTCAAAAGTTACTGGAAGAGGACCTGCTGCTAGCAAAGTGTGGGAGTTATTAGAAAGATTAAATAGAGAAGAAGAAGATAATAAAACATCTGTTCAATCATCTATTATAGAACATTTATTATTATTAGATCGCTCTGTAGATTTACTTTCACCTTTAGTTACACAGTTAACATATGAAGGATTAATTGATGAAATTTTTGGAATAGAATATAGTTGAGTATCTTTTTCTGAGATGGCATATTTTAAAACATAAATTATTTCATTGTAATTTTAATGTTCATTTATTTAAATGTTATAATTTTAGACACTGTGGAGTTACCAGCAAGAAGATTTCATGATTCTCAAAACTCACCAACAACAATGTCACTTAATGGGAAAGAACAAATCATATTGAACTCTGGAGAAGAATTATTTGCAGAAATTAGGTAAATATTTTTATACTTTAATATAATTTTGTATTTTATAAAATCTTTTAAATTACAGGGATAAAAATTTTAATGGAGTAGGACCTGTTCTTAGTAAAAAAGCTAAAGTTATTTCATCACAGTTAGATGAGAGACATGGAGATAAAAGTGTACAAGAAATTAAACAATTTGTAGCACGATTACCACATATGTTGGCTACTAAGCAATCATTAGCAAAACGTAAGTTCTTCAAACTGAATTTGATAATTAAGAATAATTACAGTATGTTAATTTTATATATGTATCTTTCTTTCATTCTTAGATACAACAATAGCAGAAATGATAAAAGAAGTAACAGATTCTAGTAGCTTTTTAGAATCATTACAAGTGGAACAAGAATTGTTGAACTGCATTGATACTGATAAACCAAATACTTTTATAGAAGATATGATAGCACAACAACAACCACTTCTAAAAGTTTTACGACTTCTCTGTATACAATCTTTAACAAATTCTGGACTTAAACCAAAATTATTGGACTTTTATAAGAGAGAAATAATACAAACGTATGGATATCAAAACTTACCAACTATATTAAATTTGGAAAAAGTTGGATTATTAAAACCACAACAATCTGCACGCCAATATGCAGTTTTACGAAAAGCATTAAGACTTACAGTTGAAGATGAAAGTGAAATTACACCGAAAGACATTAGTTATGTTCATTCTATATATGCACCATTAAGTGTTCGACTAGCAGAACAACTTATTCAACCAAATGGTTGGCAAGGTTTAAATGATGTAATGGGATTACTACCTGGGCCTACTATTAATAGTGTATCATATAATATACCATTATATGGAAGAAGTATGAACTATATGTAAAAAATGTATTTTTAATTATATTATAATTAATAATAAATTATTTTTGTAGGAAATTCTATTAGCAGTGAAGATTCTAATTCAGAACCACCAAAATTAGTAATGGTTTTTTTTATTGGAGGGTGTACATTTGCAGAAATTTCTGCATTGAGATTTTTATCTCAGCACGAAGATTGTAAGTAATAACAGAATTTTACTATACTATTAGAACTTTATAATTGATTTTCTGTTTCTGTATATGATATATCTTGAAATAAATTTCTATTTTCAGTAAACGTAGAATTTGTTGTCTGCACTACAAAGCTAATAAATGGAAACACGTTCTTAATGTCATTAATGGAAAATCTAGAAAGTACATAATTTAAGTAAATTAGATGTTATTTTCTGTATTATATATTTTGTTAATGATAGTTATACAATTTTCTTAAAGATATGTGTAAATTCTTTTCTTTGTCATAAGCGAATTTGTTAAAAAACAATTACAATAATATATGTATAAATATGGTAAAATTATGAATTTATGCCTTTAGAAGTTTTTTATAAGTATTCCTTTATATTATTTACATGTAAGACATTTATATAATATTATGTATATAATATTTTACATATATATATAATATTTGAGCTACATTTTGTATGGTGTTTATATTATAAATTAAACATAATTATATATAATATAGATATGTACATAATTATCAATAACTATTCTTGAAATTTAAAAAGATCAAGTTTTTATAAGTTATTTTCAAAATATTTTGTGTAAAATAAATTATATTTGTGTGATAATTTCATTTAGTTTGGTAATAAATAATTTTATTTACAGAGGTGTTAAATTGTATTAAGGGTATATACAATTTATCAAGTATTATGCAAATTGATACAAAGAAGAAGCTATAAAATAAATCAATTACCACATGTGTGTTTATTAAATGTACTTGTGTACCTAAAATTTAAAAATATCGAAATTAATATTAATTGAATTTTACTTTTTATTATATTGAATTTATATTGTAGGATGCATTTTGAAAATGTAAAATTGATAAAGAAGTAGCTCGCAGTTACCGGTAATATTTTCTAGTTTAGTACTTGACCGACATAGAGCGCCACTCATCATCGACGGAGAATTCGCCTGCTGTGTAGAGTACACCCAGGCTAGGCGAAAAGGCGTCAAAAAGTTTGCGAATTCTCGTGTGTCCGGCCGACAGTGGGTGCCGTATTGTTGCGTTGCCGCGGATTGTCGCGTCTCGCGCGTGTGTGCGTACGTGCGTGACACGTACGAGGCGTGTACTTTTCCGGGGTGCGGTGCATTTGCACAACGAAAAATTGTGATCCTCGGATCTTAATATGCTTGAAGGATCGGCCAAGTTCAGGAAAAAGAGGTGCTCCGCCTGAAGAGAGTGCTCGGAGCTGCGCGCATGCTTCTGTGCCTGCTCCTTCGCCATTTTGGAGGTGAATATCATTTTTTCCTTGTTGCCGAAGTTTTGGATAAATTTCAGTTGATATACTAATATCTGACCATGATGTCGTACACCCGATCCAAACACGGCAAGCGTTTTCGGCTACAGCGACAATGTCCCTCTACTGTATTTGCGGGACCAATCTGACGCGATTGCTTCGAGTCAGAGACCCAACCCTCCTTACGCCCGCATTTCTACCTCCTGCGAATTTCACTCAATCGCCTTCTTTGCTTACCAACCCCAATTTTACAATTATTTCTATTCCTCTTGTGAAAATACTTGTTGTCTAAGAATTTTATACATTACTGATAACATTCAGTTTGATCTCCTTTGCGGATGTTCCATTTAAAAACATATGATATTTATTCAAGTCAGATGAGTTTCTACGGATAGAATGGTGTGTTTCGTATCGAGGACCTCGTGATAAGTGTCAAGCTCATTTTAATTATACAAGAAAACGTTTTATAGTAAGACGAGTCATTCAATTGTACTTTGTATTTTATAAATTTATATATTTGTATTTGTTAAATATTGTTTGTTATTGAGTTTATTATGAAACTTGCTGTTGTTAATGTGTTATAAAAAATTAAATTAGGAGAAATATGAATTGAAGGTATGCAAATCAGAAAACATTATCTACATAACTGTTTTCCATTATGCATGTATTTGTATAACTAAAAACAATGTATCTGCATTACATTAAATTTTATGAAGTATCAAAAATTGTTTCAAATTTACTTCTGTTATTAATGAAAAACATATTGATCACTTTTTGTTTATTTTAGTTATTATACTTTATACAGAAATTTTAATACTAAATGAAATGAAAGATGACATAAAATGAAAATATATTCAAATTAGAAGTATTTTAAATGAATTACTTATAATTATTGAAATTAATAATAATAATTTATATTGCTTTCACAGATAGAATGTTGAATTTTGGAATGGACTGACAGAGGATTAAGTAAGATTATAAAATTTAGGATAGAAGATTGAAAGACAAGAAGACGTCTAACGGTGTCTGAAATTGGCCTTGGCCATTTAATTATTAACACTTTACTATGCCAGCTGTTCCAAGGCCTGGTAGCCTCAAGGACCCAGAGATTGCTGAATTATTTGAAAAAAATGATCCGGAGAAAATATTTGAGGATTTGCGTGAAATCGGGCATGGTAGTTTTGGGGCTGTTTATTATGCACGATGTTTGGTTACCAAAGAAATTGTTGCCATCAAGAAAATGTCATATCTGGGAAAACAAACTGTTGAAAAGTGGCAGGATATCTTGAAAGAAATTCGATTTCTTAGGCAACTTAACCATCCTAATACAATAGAGTATAAGGGCTGTTATCTCAGGGACCACACTGCCTGGGTATATATTTTTCAAAATTATTTTAACATAATATTTTAAATAACATCTTAAATAATATGATTTTAATTACTAAATTATTTCATATAGTATGCATTTTCTTTTTTTAATAAATTTTGTATATTTCTTGTAGTTGGTAATGGAATATTGCCTTGGTTCTGCATCAGACATTATTGAAGTTCATAAGAGACCATTAAAAGAAGATGAAATAGCAGCAATTTGTGAAGGTGTGCTGCGTGGTTTGCATTATCTTCACTCTCTTGGAAGAATTCATAGAGATGTCAAGGCAGGAAATATTTTACTTACTGAAAATGGAACAGTAAAACTGGCAGATTTTGGATCGGCAAGTATAAAATGTCCAGCAAATAGCTTTGTAGGAACTCCTTATTGGATGGCACCAGAAGTAATATTAGCTATGGATGAAGGACAATATGATGGAAAAGTGGATGTATGGTCTTTGGGGATAACATGTATTGAATTAGGTATCAAAGTATACTATTATTTCAATCTTTATTCTTTTTATGAAATGAACTACTTTCAGAACATAAAAAACTAATCATTTAAAATTATGGTAAAACATTTATTTATTTATTTGAATTTTAGCGGAGCGAAAACCACCTTATTTTAATATGAATGCTATGAGTGCTCTGTATCATATTGCTCAGAATGACACACCAACTTTGAATTCTCCAGACTGGTCAGATATTTTTCGTCACTTTGTTGAAGTGTGCCTAACTAAAAGTCCAACTGAAAGACCAGCCTCTGGTAAACTGTTATCAGTGAGTCTTAAATAAGTTTTTATTTTATTATATAATATATGTTATATATATGTGTATATACACATATATTTCATACTGCTTTATTGTCTAAGTTTTACATAAATTGATATACTGTAGTTTAGTTAGTTGTTTTCTTATAGGCTTTCAATTTTACAGCATCAATTTGTCACCAGAACGCGTTCTCCACAAGTTTTAATAGACTTAATTCAGAGAACAAAAGCTGCTGTTAGAGAATTGGATAATTTAAATTATCGGAAAATGAAGAAGATTTTAATGATCGATGCTTGTGAGACTGAAAGTACAGTTGGGGATGCGGATGGTATGGTATATTAATTTTAAAAAGTTTGAAAAATAACATTATTTACTTTTTTTATATTTATATTTTTATTTACATCTTGCAGATACTCCTGATGAACAAACAGGTGGTGATAGTAGCAAGAGTAATTCAATTACCTCAGAGCACTCAATTCATTCAATGGGTGTCTCTGCAAGCTCTCAAAGTTCCTCCACCAATAGCCTGCCACTGCCAAATGCTGATGCAAATGATTATTCTACGGGATCTGTACGAAATAGACATAAAATATCAGCAGGCGGTGTCACTGCCAATCTTCTTGAACATGGTGCCAATAATTTTGCAACAATTAGGACAACATCAATCGTAACTAAACAACAAAAAGAACACATGCAAGAAGAAATGCATGAACAAATGAGTGGATATAAACGGATGAGGCGGGAACATCAAGGTGCTTTGGTAAGTGTTAATTGGTAGTATTATTTAATTTTTATACATTTTATTTAGACATTTAAAAATTATAATTTTTATGGAATGTAAATAGGTAAAATTAGAAGAACGTTGTAAAATGGAGATGGAATCCCATAAACAATTACTAGACAAAGAATATGAAACTCTGTTACAACAATTTAGTAAAGAACTGGAAAAACTTCAATTAAGGCATTTACAAGAATTAGAACGTAAGCTTAAACAAAACCAAAATGCAGAAAAGAAACTTCAGAAAGAGATTACGAGTAGACAAGAGGCAGATCGGAAGGCATTAGAAGCACAGCAAAAGAAAGAGTACAAAGTAAGAAATTAGATACAATGATAATATTAAGCTTTCTTTCAACAAATTAAAAAGATTTAGCCTCATGTTTTTTTGAATAATAATCAATAGCAAGGAATATATTTTTTTATAAGGTTTACAAAGAAAGATGGAAAAAAGAATTATCTCTGGATGAAGTTACACCGAAAAGGCAACGAGACGCTACACTTCAGAGTCACAAAGATAATTTACGACAAATGGAAGCACAAGAAGAACAACGGCTTGCAAGGGGACAAAAAGAATACCTTAATCTTGAAATTCGTAAATTTCGTAGAAAAAAGCTACTTGTTTTCCATAGTTTGGAACAAGAACTACTTCGAGAAGTTAGCATAGTATTTTTCTTTCCTGTGTAGATAGCCTTTTTTCCCTTCCATAATCATTACTTTATATTATTGTTATTTTATTAGTTTTAAAAATTAATAAATATACTTTTATAATATAGGAATTAAATAAAAGACAGCAACAATTAGAACAAGCACATAATATGCTATTACGACATCATGAAAAAACTCAAGAACTAGAATACAGACAACAAAGAGCAGTTCATGCTCTTAGAGAAGATCAAGTTCATCGACAACATGCTACAGAACTTTCTAATCAACAAGATTATATGCAACGATCGGAACGTGATTTACGTAAGAAACATGCATTGGAACT